CTGGCGGCGGCCATCCAGGGCGGCCCAGGCAGAGGGGCCAGCGTCAGTGCACAGGCCATGGATCGTTGAGAGCTCAACGGCATCTGCTGCCCCTCGGCTCGCGCTGGACCTTCCACGATTTGCTCATGGCTTCCCTGGGGATCGCTGGATTTACTACCGATTTTTCTGGACCTACCTTGATTTCCCTGGACTTGCTTCGACTTGCGCTGATTCATCTGGCCTGATCCCCGCAAATCGATTGGCGAAAAGTCGTCAAGCTCTTGGGAATGGAGGCGCATCTTCGTCGCCGTCGTCGTTTTGGCCTCGCGCTCCTCGCCCCTCCTGCTCGGCGCGGATATATGTGGGATGTGCTGAAGTGGGTGCGCCAAGACAAATTGGACGTCGGGTTTTTTCCCCAAACAGCTTGCTGAACGGGGTGCTGTTGTGATAGAGGCTAACTCCGGCCGAAGGAAAAGAAGGACCAAAAACATTCTCAATAAAAATCTGGTGGTCCCGGCCGTTGCGCCTGAGACATCCTCACAACTCTCGTTTCTGAGTTGCCCGGAATTGGCCGTTTCGCCTGAGACATTCTCGAACATCTGGGCCCCGGGACGCTGCGCGCAAGGTGGTCCGGGCCGTTTCGCATGAGCCCCGAGATGCCGTGCGAGAGGTGGTCCCAGTCGTTTCGCCTTAGACATCCTCACAATTGTGGCCTCCGAGAGGCCGCGCGCGAGGTGGTCTGACCCGCTTCGCCTGAGACATCCTCGAAACTCTCAGCCCCGAGATGCCGCGCGCGAGGTGGCTCACAACTCTGGCCTCCGAGATGCCGCGCACAAGGTGGTCTGGCCCGTCTCGCCCGAGATATCCTCGCAATTCTGGGCTCTCAGAAAATGTGCGCGAGGTGGTCCGGCCCGTTTCGCCTGAGACATCCTCGCAACTCTGGTCCTCGAACTGCCGCGCGCGAAGTGGTCCGGTGAGTTTCGCTCAAGACATCCTCGCAACCCTGAGCTCCGAGCTGCCGCACCAGATGTGGTCTGGCGCGTTTCGCCTGAAACATCCACGCACTGAGACATCCTTGCAACTCTGAGCTCTGAGAAAATGTGCGCAAGGGTGTACGGCCCGTTTTGCTTGAAATATCCTTGCAATTTGAGCGAGGTGGTCTGGCCCGTTTCGCTTGAGGCATCCTCGAAACTTTGGGCCGAGAAGGGATCAGACCCAAACGAACTATTTGATTCCACTTTTGTTGCCAAATTGTGCTCTGGGAGGGTCTGGGCGCCGCTTGAGACATCCTCGGAAGTCTGAGATCCCAGATGTCGCACGCGAAGTGGTCCAGCCCGTTTCGCCTGAGACATCCTCGAAACTCTGGGCTCCCTTCCTCGAAACTCTGGGTTCCGAGAGGGAGGAGGAGTCATATCCAAACGAATCACGCGATTGCCCATCTGTTGTCGAATTGTGTTCAGGGAAGGGCCTGGGTGCTGTCTGAAACATCCTCGGGAATCTGAGTTTCCAGATGTCGCACCGCACGCGAAATGATCCAGCTCGATTTTGTCCCTAGACATCTTCGCAATTCGGGCCTCCGAGATGCTGCGGGCGAGGTGGTCTGGCCCGTTTCGCCTGAGACATCCTCGAAACCTCGGGCGCCTTGAAGATGTGCGCGGGATGGTCCAGCCGGTTTCGTCTGAAGCATCCTCGCAACTCTGGGCTCTCAGAAACTGTGCGCGAGGTGGTGTGGTGCGTCTCGCTTGAAGCATCCTCACAAATGGGCTCCGGGGTGCCGCGCCAGAGGTGGTCTGGCCCTTTTCTCGCTTGAGTCATCCTCGAAACTCTGGGTTCCGAGAGGGGGGAGGAGCGAGAAGGGGCCAGACCCAAACGAACTATTCGCTCACACTTCTGTTGTCGAATCGTGCTCTGGGAATGGTCTGGGCGCCACTGGCCCGACGGAGGAGGCAGCTGGCGCCGAAGCGCGAGCACGAGTCCTTGGTAGATTGCAAGGGCTGGTCAAGGGGGAGCCATGCTGGAGCAAATCGTGGCGATGTCTCGACTAGAGCGCGGCGGGCAGGGAGGAGGCAGGATGGGGGAGGAGCAAGGAAAGAGGAACGAGCTTCGAGATGCTGCGCGAGAGAAATGATGCACCAGGAGGGGGACGGGACCAGGCTCACACAATACCTGCTGGATGGCATCCCTGACGGGGGTGCCTCCTGGAAGCATCCAGAGTGCGAACGCATCCTTGGCATGGTGGAGGAAGCGGAGGAGAGGAGGGAAGAAAAGGACGAGGAGGATACCGAGGAGGAGGAGGAGGAGGAGGAGGAGGAGCAGGAGCATCAGGAGGAACAGGAGGAGCAGGAGGAGCAGGATGAAGAGGAGGAGGAGAATGAGGATAATGAGGATGAGGAGGAGGAGGAGGAGGAGGAGGAAAAGGACGGGGAGGACAAGTAGGACGGGAAGGAGGAAGATGAGGAACATTACGAGGAGGAGGAGGAGGAGGAGGAGGAGGAGGAGGAGGAAGGCGGGGAAGGCGGAGGAGGAGGAAGCGGAGAAGGAGGAGGAGGAGGAGGAACACTGCGAAGCGGAGGATGACGATGAACACCAAAAGGAGTCCGAAGAATACGAGGAATAACGCTGCGAGCAGGAGCAGGAAGGAAAACCACAAGGATGATGAGGTAAGAACAGCACGAGGAGGAGGAATAACACCATGAGCATGAGGAAATCGTATGAGGACGGAGTGGCGGGACGGGAGTAGGTGAAAGGTGATGACTGAGGAAGGGGGAGGAGGACGGAGAGGGGGAGGAGGAGGAGCGAAGGAGGAGGAGGGGAAGGAGGAGGAGGGGAAAGGAGGAGGCGGAGGAGGATGAGGAGGGGAGGAGGAAGAGGAGAGGAGGAGGCGGGGAAGGAGGAGGAGGAGGGAAAGGAGGAGGCGGAGGAGGAAGAGGAGGAGGACGAGGAGGAGGATGAAAAAGAGGAGGAGGACGGGGATGAGGACCAGGAGGATCAGGATGAGGAGGATGACTACGAGGAGGAGGATGAGGAGGTGCGCGACCCCAGAAGGAGGAGGGGGAAGAAGAGGGGACGAGGGAGATCAGCAAACAATCATCCCTCCTCAATAGCACGCTCGGCGGCGAGCTGGCTGGCCCGCTCCGCGGCCAGCCGCTGGGGAGGATGAGGGTGATGATGATGATGGTGATGAGGAGGAGGAGGAGGAGGAGGGGGAGGAGGAGGAAAAGGAGGAGGAGGAGGAGGAAGAGGAAGGGGAGGAGGAGGAGGAGAAGGAGGAGAAGGAACGTGAAGGAAAGAGAAGCGGGATAAGGATGAGGAGGAGGAGGAGGTGCAGCGGAAGCGGGGGGGCAAGGGCGAAACTGAAATGTACGTGGATGCGGGGGAAGAGGAGGACGACGACGATCACGGAAAGCTACACGACGGCGCCGAAGGCGCAGGCGGATCAGAAACAAGAGAACGAGCGAACACTGTTAGGAACCTCTGGCTCAAAACACGCTGTGGAGATACTGGACGCGGGCTATAATTTGAAGCTCCACGCCCAACGCTTCCAAACGCCTGCAATATAGAAGCCAACGCGTATGCAACGGACGGAGGTGCAACTGGGAAAGAGACATACATAGCTCAGCATCGTCACTCTGGTTTGGACGTCAGGGGGAGACATCGGGTGCGAGGACGTGGAAAAGCACAAAACTGACGACAACGAGACAGCGCATACCCCCCCCCCACACACATGTAGAGACATATCTGTGTATGTATGCATGCATGCATGCATGTACGTTTGTTTGCATGTATGTGCGTGTGGGATGTACGGGAGTAGCTGTATGGAATACAGAGAGACACGAAGTACAAATAGGGGGACCCGTGCTATGAGAGAGCACGTTCTCTGTCCTTTCACGGGGGCCAGGGCGCGCCCGTCGCCTGCGCCCCAGGTGACTTCAGGGCCCTTGTGGGCCACAGCGGCGGCGCGCAAGGGAGGTTGGAAAGCGGCGCAAGAGGAGGAGAGGCTGCCATGGGAATGACAACCACAGCTTTTACCTTTTCCTGCAGCCGACAACCACCTCGCCTCAGTCCGAAAACTTCCGCTTAGAATCTTCGAAAACCGCAGCCACTCAGATCCCGTAGCCTTCTCAGATAATCCCAAAACGCCTGCGGCGTACAGCCTGTGCGGCTACATGAACACGTGGGCTTTGAGGGCGTCTCTAGGAGAGGTCCATGAATGGATTGTCAGCTCCTGGCTCCATGGAGGGATTGCCAGATCTAGATTCGTCCGCAACTTGCCCCATCTCGTCCATGAAGTTCTGCGGCTCGGAGCCGCTGCGGTCGCACTGATGTCCAGTTCGCTCCAGGTAGCGGGAAGGTGCACGGAGCTCCCTGGTCCATTGGGGAACCCATCTCTCGTTCTTGGGCATCAGCTTGACCGCGAGAATGGCCAGGTCGGAACCCTCGATCTTCTCGTCCCTGTACGCGTGGACGCTCGCAAACGCAATGGGGATAGCCTGCGCTGTCAGGTGCATCCTGCGCGTGCGATTTCATCGCTTGCGCCATCCAAAGACTTGCTGCTTCGACTGTATATTGTCCTAGACCTCCCTCGTCGTCGTAGTATGGACGCAGAGCTTGGTGACATAGGTACTGCCTTCGGTTTGGCACCACTGCTTGCGGACATGTACCTTGGTATAGCCTGCGCGGCGTATGCGGTCCACCTGCATCTCGAAAATGCATGAATCTAGATTCCTCTCGGGGCCGACATCAGACGACAGGTGCACCGTATAGTGAGCGCAAGAAGTACGGCGAAGTGCCACTTTCACAGTGAACGCCGAAGATGTTGTCCGGGCTCGAGGGCCCCTGCTCCAATTCGCACAGACCTCCCTTGCTCCAGATAGCGGCAAGAGCTCCCCAACTGGCGCCGTGGTAGGCGGTCTGGACGTTGGCACCCGGGTTGTTGAGCTCCTTGTCTTGCTGCATCTCCTTGGCTCACACCATAGACATATGGATGATCCACCGTGGTCCAGTTGGATGTGCAATCGGGC